TTTAATAAATGGCCTGAGTTTCTGGTGCTGTATCCGTGTCGGTCGATTACCATTTCAATTTCGTTGCATAGTCGTGAAGGTGCAGTGCCGTGAAAACATTTATACATTAAACATGCAATAGCATAATTTCGTCTTTTTTCTAATATGTTCCATAACAGGTTATTAATGATATCTTCGTCATGTATTGTATTATAATCAAAGTTATTAGTAACTATACGTGCTGCCCTTTTTTGCAGTCGGTGGATTACTGTTTTATCTTTATTGCTACTATTTCCCCAAACTGAAATACCATAATCCATACATGGCTGGATTGTTGTTAGATATACTGTAGTTTTGTTAATAAACTTATATTTAAAGTGTAGGTTTGTTTCGAGAGTAGCAGTTTAGCACTTGCATATCGTCTTATCTCTTTAATATGATGTTCCTATGTTAAATTTTCATCAATTTCTTGTGATATCTGGTGTACGTTTCCACGCACTGGTTTCTAAGACGAATGCTAAGCATAGGCCTATGAGGTGGAATAAAGTGTTTGTTCTTTTATTAACATACTTTTAGTTTTGTCCGTCTTAATTCTTAATTATATTGTACCATTCCTGAACATTATTAACTGTGAGTTGGAGGTTAACATTTATTTCGTCAATCATTTTTCCTGACACATAAAAAATGTCGTCACCATATATACCGGTAGCCTACAGCAAGAACGATGAGTTACAGATTGCAATATGTCGTAAATGAAAATAAGGAAGAGAACAGGACCTAGGCCACTACCTTGCGGGATTCCTGCAATTTCAATGTCTTTTTCCTTAATACGGTATTTCCATATTTATTTACCTCGTTATTATTTATCCATAACTGTATAGTTTTTGTAGCAAAAGAGCGTGATCTACGGTACCGAAGCATTTTGAAATATCTAAAAAGCATGTTCCAATCATTTCATGTTCATTTTAAGCGATTCTATACATTCGTCAACAACCCTATGTAAGCACGTGATTGTTGAATGCTCTTTGCTAATCGCATATTGTTCTACATTTATTAAATTATGTAAATTCAGCAATACAATTTTCTGTATTTTTATATGGACAAATAACATTTCTCGAATCTTGAATCTTGAATCTTTGGATAATCGGTTAGTTGAATCTGTATAATTTTTTTCTAATATCTTTGATATGTGACATACTACCGAAAGGTTTATAGCTACGGTACGTAACCGGTCTTTGTTCCCGTCCCCTAGTATATGCCTATTGGTGTTACTAGTTCTTGCCATCTTTCAATCAGCAGGGATTTCTCCGTTCATTAACGACATATTGTAAATCTTATAAAGAGAATCTGATATGTACGTTGATGCCATTCTTAACAGTTTACTATCACAAAAGAAATGAACGCAACTGAAAGGAACTGACCGCAACTGAGAGGAACTGACAATCGCGCATATTTGTCGACATGAGTCAAGTTGAGTTGAGTTCCTTTCAGTTGCCCATGTTCAACTTTTTGCGGAACTGAAAGGAACTGAAAAAAAGCGCGAAAAAATGCTGATTCGGAACTCAAAGGAACTGAAAACGTTGATCCTGATATTAATCGTAATCAAGATGCATTAACTGAAAAAAGATATTATATTACAATGTTTTTTTAATGGCAGATTACTTTATTCTTTGTTTTAAAAAATATAGGCCATAGGCCAGATTTTTATTCTAACACATTAACAAATAGGCCTAGGCTAGGCCTAATAATAATAATAATAATAATAATAATAATAATAATAATAATAATAATAATAATAAGAATAAGAATAAGAATAAGAATAAGAATAAGAATAAGAATAATAATAATAATAATAATAATAATAATAATAATAATAATAATAATAATAATAATAATAATAATAATAATAATAATAATAAGAATAAGAATAAGAATAATACAGCATATACTTACCATATTCTATCTAGCCTAGGCTAGGCCTAGAGTGTAGAAAAAAGGCAGGCTTCCTATGCCAGGCCTACTACCCTACGTCTAACTCTACGTACGACGAGTAAAGACTTGACAACTAACTGGCATGCAGATCTCACTTCCAAAATCCATTTTTACGAATTATAAATAATCCAGTAATTCTTGGGAGTGTGCATTGTTTTTGAAGTTAGTTTTGTACAAATTCTAACAGTAGAACATTTATCTAGGGCCTAGGCCTGTCTCTTATACACATCTAGATGTGTATAAGAGACAGGTGTACGTTTCCACGCACTGGTTTCTAAGACGAATGCTAAGCATAGGCCTATGAGGTGGAATAAAGTGTTTGTTCTTTTATTAACATACTTTTAGTTTTGTCCGTCTTAATTCTTAATTATATTGTACCATTCCTGAACATTATTAACTGTGAGTTGGAGGTTAACATTTATTTCGTCAATCATTTTTCCTGACACATAAAAAACGTCGTCACCATATATACCGGTAGCCTACAGCAAGAACGATGAGTTACAGATTGCAATATGTCGTAAATGAAAATGAGAAAGAGAACAGGCCATAGGCCAGATTTTTATTCTAACACATTAACAAATAGGCCTAGGCTAGGCCTAATAATAATAATAATAATAATAATAATAATAATAATAATAATAATAATAATAATAATAAAAATAATAATACAGCATATAATTACCATATTCTATCTAGCCTAGGCTAGGCCTAGAGTGTAGAAAAAAGGCAGGCTTCCTATGCCAGGCCTACTACCCTACGTCTAACTCTACGTACGACGAGTAAAGACTTAACAACTAACTGGCATGCAGATCTCACTTCCAAAACCCATTTTTACGAATTATAAATTCTTGGGAGTGTGCATTGTTTTTGAAGTTAGTTTTCTACAAATTCTTTAACAGTAGAACATTTATCTAGGGCCTAGGCTTAGGCCTAGGTGAAGAAAAGCTAAGTCCCTTTTTCAGAAAGTCCCTCTGCAGTGTAGTGTTCAATTATGAATTCTATCAAAAGTATGCTGCTGCATTCGCGTAATATTAAATTAATACATTTTTATAACATATTTGACAGCTGATTCATGTAAACATTGTCACGTATAAAATGCATTCGTGTATACTTGTTGTTTTTGTTTTTGTTTTTTCATATAGAAAAAGACCTTTCTTGTTTTAATTGTTCCACCAGATTTTGCATGAACCCATTTCAAATATACCAATATGCGATACACTTTTCTAAATTAAAAAATAAAGAGTAGATAAACTTCAAAAATAATTTTATTATTTTTAACCACACATCTAATCTTACAAGCATTCAAACATTTATTTGCAGTTGATGAGATTTCGAAGAAAATGAAATCTTTAAAACTCAATTCTGTCGACTAATCAAACAGGCACCATTTGTTTCGGTTGCCGGTCGACATTTTCAAAACAAAAAAATAAAGTAGATACACTTTTTCAAATAATTAAATGTCTTAATAAAAACATTACAGACATTTTGCAGTTGATGGGATTTCGCGGGGAAAATGTTTTTAGTCAATAGTTCCTTTCAGTTGCCAGTCGACATGAGCCAAGTTCCTTTCAGTTCCTTTCAGTTGCTCAAAGTCGACATGAGTTCAGTTGCGTTTAGTTCCTTTCAGTTGCGCGGAGCGCTGTCGACGAGCTGAGTTGAGTTGAGTTGAGTTGAGTTCCTTTCAGTTCCGTGTCGAACTGAGCCTGCCTTAAGTGTTATTTTGTTTTGTGCTTGTCTGACAGTTTCTTTACATGATCTCGTTGGTACATCAAATGAATAATATCCGGTGTTATCCATTGTGATAGGCTATTTTTTTACTCTCATTTATTTATATGGAGCATGTCAATTACATATGTCTATGAAGGAATTTTTCCATTTGTTCCAGACAGAGTTAATATTTTCATTGCCAGTTAGAGAATAAATTCTATACTGTTAGTCTCAAAAGTGCTGCTGTCACTTATTTTATACAGTTATAATAAGTCATTCATTTCGTAATTTGTTTAAAATTCTTTTTTAAAAGTTATATATCAAAATCTTTAAAATTTCTAAATGTAATTGTTCTATGCCTAGTTTTCTCGTTTCTATATTCAATACATTGTGTAGACTAATGAATGGTCGCTTAGTGCTAAATGTGCAACTCCATTGAGAACATGACGTTCTGGTATCGATGAAAAATGATCTCGATACAAGTAGCTGATGTTTGTGTAAGTGTAGTTTTTGGGTTAGTTCGAACATATTTTCTAGTTTATTAATTGGATTTTTGTGAAGGTCAATACCAAAAATATAATCAATGTTGAAATCTCATAACAAAATTATTTCCTTATTTTCATTTCAGACATTTTCTAGCATCATAATAATAATAGGTCGATTTATAAGGCGAAAAAAAACAAGGTCTCGTAAGCACATAATAATAATAATAATAATAATAATAATAATAATAATAATAATAATAATAATAATAATAATAATAATAATA